GCAGAAAATATGGAGTTTGTATTTTCAAAACCCCGAGTGCAGGTTAAACAGATGATTCTTTTTAAAAATATACAGGAATCCAGAAAGTTTCCTAAAAACCGAAGGTACAATTTCTTGAAGTACAACATTGATAAAAGACGTAACGTTGTACCAAATGAGTATCAGGAAGAATATTTTCCTGCGTATTTTCGATAAAATGTATTTGAATTTATGAGGGCGTTGAAAATCAATGGGGAAACATGCTTCTTAAAAAGCTATTTGTAAAGCATGCAATTTTTGCAGAAAATAGGAAGAAGCTCGTTACCTGCCTTCGTCCCTGGAATGTCTTGAGATTATGATACAGGAGGAATTTTCTTACAATAATACTTAATTGATATTTTTGAAATGTAAACAGATTTCAGGATTTCGGTCAATAGTTAGTAAGATAGCACACCTACTGCAGCTTATATTTGAACCTCATATTTAATTGATTGTCTAACCATATGCTCTGCACATTGATTTTACGAAGTATTTGTTGCAATTTGTGCTGCAAACAGAAATTTTACTAGACTAGATTACAGGACGGAAGACGGATATTCCGATTTAGAATCCACAGTAGCGCATATGAAATGCACTTAACTATTTTCTTGCGACATATCCCGCCCGATCGCCTAGTTCCAGGTTTTTGCCTAGCACTCTTTCTACAACGACTGCAAAATAGAATGATAGAAGTTATATAGTGAAGCTGATACACTTTTTGAGAGACAGGGAACTCACACAACTGCTAACGAGTTAAATAATTGCTAGAGTTTCAGACCAAACAACATGTCTTCTCTAGGCCTAAGATACCTAATACATGTAGAATCATAGTTTGGATGTTGTCTGCAATCACTGTAAACATTTGCAAATCTTGCCATATGGAAATATGCCCCGTAAGCGGTTGCCCCTTCTAGGCCTACCTGGTATTTCTGGCGAGAAGCTACATTTCTTTTGGGGCATTTAAATTACTAATGTGTCCACAGGTAACATTACAAAAGCTCCCTCAACTTTTTGTTTCTATAAAACCTTTTACCTCACGAAATAATTTACTCGGGATCTATTTTTTTTGTCGACTGCACACATGGCTTGACAGCAAGCAAACTATGTCGTGAG